AGTCCAGCGAACTGTTTTTGCAATGCATGATTGGGAAACCGAAACGTGAACCAGAAATAGGTTTTTTAACAGTCAACGTGTTTCGTTACCATCGTCGGTAACGTAATCAAGACTGAATAAAAGAAAAACTTAAGTTATGTTTTACCATAGTAACAGAGTATTATATTACGTATTCCTAAGTGATAGTTATGTTCACTCAGTTGCAACAGATTACTGACTTCAGCCTAGCTTTCAGTTATGTCAGACGATGAACAGAATTCATAGCAAATTTCATATTGTTAAAATATAAAGAAACTATTTTATTAAAGGCCCTGATTTGGTGTTGTTCCTGCTAAGTACTGAAACACTCATTTCGTTTATATCATGTCGTTCACCAATGGCGTTGGGTGCAACGACCGAGTACTGCATGATCTATACGGACAGATCTTTTTTCACAGATATTAATCCATCTGTAGAAGTTACTTGTATAAATTTTGTCGCAATCATTGTACTTTATCTTGTAAAATTTTTTAAACAGGCATCCACAGCACACTCCGCCATTTTATAATATTCCCACTTCCCATGTTTTCATTAGGTAGTTTTTGACTTGTTTTGAAAATTATAGATAAAGCTGAATTGATATTACGTGATTACGGGTCTTTTTTCCTGTGGTTTAAGTTAATGAAATGTAAACCCTGATGTTCTTGCTTTCTTTCTCTGGACAGCATTACACGGCGTAAGAGGGTGCTTGAAACAAGAAAACGGTGCGGTGCTTCACCCACGGAGATGCAATAAAATCGTGAAGCCGTGGCCTGGGAAATCGTCCCATTATCGCTGGAAGCAAAGAGATGACACATTAAAACCGTACGAATCCGCAGAAGCAATGCATATGAGTAATGCTGATGGGCGGTATGAAATACTGGCTTTTGTTAGAATAGACTCAGAGTGTTATAGATATCATTTATTGATTAAAGTATTCAAATTCTTCATGTTATCCTGCAGTTAATGGTCATAATATCGGTCTTGACAAACTTGCTTCAGAGGTTTGATGAAGTCTCTCACTGCATTCTTGCCCTTTCGCCTTGTTTAGGGCATTGATCACACACTTTCGCGATTACGGTAAGGTAATAGCGAATAGAATGTATTCTTTCGCAGTTCGCTCAGGCGTGTTTCTTTTGTTGCTTTCTCAATGCGACGTTGGGTTCAGTTGAAATTTATAGAATTTACGTACAAAAACATGAAGAGATTTTAAAACGCTCCGTTGGAAAGTTTAGAGCTAAACATGGATGGGTACGGCTTAAATCACCTGTGGTCTATGAACGATATTCAAATGTTCTGAAGTGCGTAGGAGGAACTCCAACAAGGAATCAAAATGCTAAACGACACGATCATCAAACACTGAAAATGAACCTGAATAAGTTTCAGGACACCTTTAACAGTACGTGACTCCGCGACCTGTTGGCCTTAACCTGTTGATCTTAGGCTTGAAGGGCTGCACAAGTATGCCTATTTTGGACAGCGTATCTCTGCAGTTGTTTACCTCCTACGGTAAATCACCGGAATTAAGATGGCATGTGCCAATTTTGGAAGACTGAAAATGGTCTTATCCGGAAAAATTCCTTTGTGCATGAAACGGAACCTTTTCTCGCACCGCGTGTTAACCTATGAATGCGAAACATGGATCCTAAACTAGAAAGTTTTTCATAAACTACAAACTGCGCGACGCAGCATACGAAGATGCATGTTGGGAATAGCAAGAAAAGATAGGAAAACATATGATTGGATAAAAGTACAAAAAATCGTCTGCGATGTCATTGACCAAGTGAATAACTTAAAGTGACAATGGACAAGAGACGTTGCAAGAGGAACCGAACATCCCTGAAATGAACAAACGGCCCTTAGGAAGACCTTCAGAGCGATATCAGGATGAGCTGAAAAAGATGATTGGATGATGATGGATAGAAATGACAGAAATGAGAAGTTTATAGCAAACTGCTGAAAAGTCCTTTATCCAAACGACAAATGCTGATAGTGGTGATGATAACGACATGTGACATAAATTTGTGATTTATTCCATGAAGCGATGAAACCGATGTTCGATCAGCGGCTGCCTCTTATATTCAAAATGAATAATCGTTTGTTGATGAACCATTGATCTCTTGACACAGGACGCCAAATGGCTTAAATTATAACAGTTAAAATCGATGAAGGGAAAGACAAATGTATGCGGAAGTAATTGCCTGCGGTTGCGAAAGTTGTTTATGCTAAGTTTTTTGTTAAATTTAATTTATGGTAGTGACCGGTTTCAGTAACGAACTGTTATTATATATTAAATTCGGAATCAGTTATTTTGGCAGCACTGTTAAACCTAGCTTTTCTTGTAAGCAACAGGGATAAATCCCTTGTAGGTCAAAGCGTAATATAATTTTCGCCATCCCATGGTTTAGTAACTGAAAAGAAATAGAAAAGCTTTGATCGTTAAAACCTCTATCCTCCGTTCATTTCCATAAGTTACCACACTTTTTTCTGTATCTTATGGTGTAGCATTGATCGTGTTCTTGATATCATCAGTGGAAGTACAATATTTTTCTGAGTTGAATACCTGCTGATCAATGAACACTACCGTAAACGCTTTTATTTGATCAAGAAGCTCTATGATTATGATCTGGAGAAAGGTGGTTTTTTTTTGGGGGGGGTCCGTGGTACATTACTGCTTATCGCAAAAAATATGCACAGAATCAGGATGGTAGTAAGGCGGCCAAAAGTTGTTCGTAAATCGCTCCTGCGTTAGCTACCACACTGTATGTAGCCTCTTGATTCCTTCCACCAAGTGATACTCATTAATCTTACTTTGAACGATGAATGAACAGCTGCCTCGACAGGAATTTACACACCTGATCTTCCGAGTTAGAGTCTGACCGTTCGGCCTCAGTCATCTCCACATCCCTGCCCTAATGAATGAAAAAAATAGATAATGAGTTCGGTTCCTACGTATAATGAACAAAACTGGGCGTTGTCCATTTGAGCTGTTGCTTATAGAAAACTGGTATCAGTTGAGCTGTCGAAATGTGATTTTGCTGACGTTTGTTACAAATCAGCATGCAGATTCG